TGGGGGTGGGGGAGAGAGCACAGGAAACCACTCTGGTAACAATTGAGAAATGTTGTTCGTAAATCATATTTACAACCAATCCTTTGCAAGTACAAATTACTTTCTGTTGCAGGGCTTTTGATATGCAAAAGAACCATTCAAGTTAAACACATCCCATCACTGGGACAGGCGACAGAGGGGAGGATTTTTTAATTGACTTTATCAAGTATTAGTAATAAGAGGTGGAACTGGGGATGGCCGGCTTCCTAAATAATTGATGTTGTATGCACACCCCAAATGCCACTTGAACCATTTAAAAACAAACAGGAGAGCTTTGGATTGCCCTCGACGACATGAACCTTCAGAAAACCAACTGACTCTAAAATTAGCGCAGCCCAGAGAGTGTTTGGGGGTAGATATCAGGATAAATAGCTTTTAAAAAATCGTGGCCATATTCTTAAAAACTATCTGCAAAATGAAATATACCAAAGTTGAAAAATAGCAATTTTACTAGTTGTCCTCCACCTATTTTTAGCTTTTTAATGGTCCTATTTATCTGTGTTTCTACAGTAAGATCCAGGACTGGCTACATAATTTGCAGAGCAGAATGCAGAGTGAAAATGTGGTTCAAAATTTAGTTAAGAATTTCAAGATGGAAATGGCAGAGCATTGGAACTTCTAAGCATAGGATCCTGTCTGACTACATACATCATGTAACTGGGAAGTTGGCCCTGGTAGGACACCCTCTATTCTCTTGGGAAGAATTAGTTGTATTATTATTCCTTTGAAAAAGTCACCTATAAGCCCTCATTAGGATGTTTTATTTTTGCCTATCCTCTCCATATTGGGGGTCACATTTTTATATACTGGAAACATAGCAGAAATAGCGCTGTTTATTTTGCTAGCTTTACAGTTATAATTTTTATGGCTATGTGAGATACCACTGTATTGACATGTTAGTACCTTAATATTCTACTTTGTGTGACTGTCTTTTTTCTTTCCCCCTCTTTTGCTCTTTGTATAATACAATGATGACTTTTATCCATCAATCTTTCTAATTCTGTTGATCAACCTCTTTATGATAAATTTTCTAAGAATGAAATTGTCAGAGCAAAGGCCGAAACATCTTTATGGTTCTTATGATTTATTGTGATATTAATTTCCAAAGGGGCTATATCAATTTAGACTCAACCTCATCAGCATCAAGCATTACTTTAAAAAAATATTTTGTTGCTTAGCAGGTATAAGGTAAGATCGGGTTAACCTTAAATTGTGTTTCTTGAATTACCGACAACAGTGCATATTTCTTCATGTCTGTTTCGTATTTTCACTATTGAGAATTGTTACTTCATAAATTACCCCCTCTGCTCCACTGATCACATGGTTGTAGTGATGCTAACTGGACAGAAATGTGTCTGTGTTTTACTTAGCTATGTACTGAGGTTCAAATGTAGTTTCCTTGAACGACATTTTCCTAGTTTAATTTTTTTAAACTATCAGATTTATTAACCTTTTCAGGACCTAGAGGAAATCAGACAGTCTTAATGAAGTTCTTATTTACAATTTTAGACTTTGACAAATGTTTTGCTAGCCAAAAATGAAATAAATGTGTGTGTGTGTGTGTGTGATACACACAAGCCTCCCCCAACACGGTTCACATTAGAGAATATTAAACTGGAGCGGCACCATGCCGCTTCTTCTCTGCAGACCGGCCCCCCCAGCCGCCCACCTTTCTCGCCAACTCCTACTTCCCAAAGGGCTACTCCCAATGAAGAACTGTATAACCGCACACTTGCCTCTGTACACCTGAGTACCTCCTTTGTCTAGCCACTCTGGGAACCAGGAGCTTTTAACTGAAGCTGACCAGTGTTTAAAGCATTGTATTCTGAGCGTGTGTGCACAGCTTGGAGTATGTTGCTCTGTAGTTCCTTTAGCTCCTATCAGGATAAAAGTTTAATGCCCCACGGCCATAATTATGGGACTACTTTCTAGGGTTTCAAAAGAGAAACAAAATGTGATGGTATCGGAGTGTCCCAGAAACGGTAGGCAGGAAGAGTTGTTTCAACAAGATCTCAGCTGGGCTACGGTATAACAAGGTCCTTGAAGCCTTGCTGTAAAGTTTACACTTTGATTTATTCCAATAGACTAGGACAGTTAAGAAACAATTTGCATCATAGCAGGGCAATGCATATTGGACAAGAATGAAAACTATGTCATTATAGAATTTGCTTAATGGAAATATGGGGTCAAAAAGAGTAACAGTCTACGACACTGACAGCAGGCTCTGTGCTGTTGACATGATTAAATTTAGCAAACAGTGTAAGCCCGTGAGAGTTGAGCAACAAATAGCATGCATTTTGACACCTTTATGTAGGGTTTCCTTTTTTAAAAAAAGCAATCGTAACCTTCATTTTGTTAAAAATTATGCTGACTGCTGTAAAATATGGCTTCTGATAATACTGGGGTTAAAGTTGTTAAACAAATTAACTTTATAGTGACTTTATCTTGTACAGCAAAATTAACATCTTTAAACTGTTGCGTGAGGTTTTTATCCAAATATCTTTCTTTTGGTTTTTCAGTGATCCTTTGTACTAAATTACAGGAATATACATCAACGAAACCTTACAGTTCATACAGATTATGAGACATAGTATGTGTTCCATTCAATAACTTCTGATAGTTTTGCTCCGAGTATTTCTTGAAGTAGCTTATGAAGCCATTTACATGTGCTCTGAACTTCCTTAAAATCTGAGGAAAAACTTCTGTCATGAGAATGATTAGAGATGAATACAAAGGTAAAAACAGGAAAGTCAGAAACACCAGGTTGCTTTAGAAAGAATGTTATATGGGAGTATCTCTTAAAATAATGTGGAGTAAATGCTAAGAGACTATTCATATAAATTAAAAATCATTATTTCCATCTTCAAAGATCCTTTTCAAAGCACTGTGGGCATAAACTCAAATGCTAAATAATCAAATTTCAGATTCCCCCAAACCCACAAATTACCCTGACAGATAGCAGTTTTTTTCTGTCATTAGATGCCAATTCATTCTGTTCCTAATTGCTACAGGTCATATTTTCCATTCCTATTGCTCAAATTATCTTAAAATAAAATGTTGGTCAGTAATTCAGAAAGGCTGTATAGACGAACAGCCTATTCTAGGAGCTGACCAGGTGCAAGCACTGCACTGGTGTATTCCTCTAAAGTGGGCAGTGGGTTTGCAGACACTCACTAAAAGGGAGGGGCTGCCATTCTGTAGCATCCTTCGCAAACCCACTCATCTGGGATAATGTGGTTGCTTTTCTCTTCTGACCTTTTCCTGGGAGAGAGGGAGTTGTTACAGTCCCACTTCCTCCCTCCCATCACACACCCACAGGAGATCACAGCCTTTCCTGTGGTTCGCCTGGTCCCGGGGCCATTCCCATCCAGCTCAGATACCCATCACCCCTCACTTCATTCAGTTACGTGTGTGCTCATTACACTGCCGTCTGCTGCTAGAATGCTCCTATTAATTTTCCTTTTGATATTTTAAGAGCAATCTATAAATCATAATGTCTTTCATTCGTGCCATCATTAATGCTTGGTAATAACGCTTCAGCATCTTGCTCCCGGTTCAGCTTATCACACAAGCAGGTAAACAAGCATCCTTTTTCTCCCTGCTAGGTTCAGCATGCCTCTGAGCTGAACAAACCGCAAACTTTTTCGTAGAATGTCTACTTATTTTAGGAGGAGACGTTAAGTGGCTTAAATAATGGCCTGAGATGCCAGGCAGAGGGTAGAAAAGCAAACGTGGCACCATATGATTGCTGTACGCACTTGTAGGGCTGCAGGAAACCAAGTGCTTTTATGGGAAAGTTAGTAAATGGTCCTTTAATGTGCTAACCAAGCTAAACATTTCCAGAAGTACAAACTGCTCCCTGGGTTCTAGGAAATCAAAAATTACAGAGAAGGTGTACAAAGTGGCCCCAGAAGGGCTTGTATGCACGTAAGAGGGAGCCTGGAATGGGAAGGCAAAGGCCGTCGCGGAACACGGTACTCACACGGCTTGCATAGGGGATCTGCCTGGGCTGCTGTCGCTCTCGTTGCTGTTGGTGTGCTCCATCGCCCCATTCAGCTCTTCCCGTATTGCACTGGCTAAGTTGCCCAGGGCCGGATTTCCCATGGAAGCGGTAGTGTATAGAGGTATACTATTGTCAGCCATCGAAGCCTGCCATCAACCAAGAGAACAGGGATAAAGATGAGAGGGCAGCTATGAATTATGGGAGTATTCAACGATCTTCAGTTTCAGTTCACTGTAGCGTGGTTGGTAAATACAAGTTTCTAACAGGGTTAGAAGGATTTTGCTTTAAAAGGAAGACTCTTGACACATGTCCCAAAGCTTGGTTTCCAGGAGCTAGCTGGGGGGACCCGAGTGGCGGTGGGAGGGAGGACCCAATTCAGCCTGCTGGGCAGTCACGTGGTTTGGACAGGGAGACCTAATATGAACTTTATGTCTGGTGTCTTTTTTCAAGAGCAACTGAATATTTCCAGATCACACGGAAATATAATGGAATTTCCTTCCTTTATCCACTTGGATGACTCCAGTATTGGATATTAAAGATTTTATCAGATTATTCTGGCTGCACAGCTCAAACTTATGAGAACTTCCATAAACATTTACTTCTTAGATCCTATAGAAAACGAAGAGATTATAGAATTGGGATCAATTTTTATCTTCCCCATCATTTCCATGTTAATGACTTTTGAATTTATTTAGTGTGTGTGTGAGATAACTGGCTAAAGGTAGCATTGTGTGACCTTTCACACTCAGACCAGATCAATCACCTGGAATTTTAGGATTAAAAAAAAAAATCTCTGCCAAAAGGAAGCTCTAAATCATTTAAATCACATTTCATTTGGGCACTTAAGTACCCAGATTGAAGGTGACAACATCAGTCCAAGTGAGTGTCAGCAAAAAAAGTGTGGAAATGAAAGAAAAAAAAAATCCTGAATTCCATAGTGGGATACTTACTATTCACTTCCTATCTTACTGCATTGGAATAAAATGACCACTCGGTTTGAAATATAGAAAATAGTCAAATAAATCACTGGACTAACATATCTGTATTATTTCATTTGGGTAGTGAATATGACCCAGTGAGTTTTCCTTTTATTAAAGAGGACTGACTTTCAAAAACTGGCAGCTGTAATTAGACCAAGATTTATCAAAACTGTTCTCTTGCAGGAAACACTATGCCTGGTTTTCTATCCTAATGAGGAAAAAGCACAACCACAAGACAATCTGGCATGGTAACTTCAATTGGCCAGTCACACTCAGTCCAAACTATTCTAGAAATCCTGGCTCTAGAGAGAAAGTAAGAGCCAAAAATGAAGGAGGAATGGGTGTAAAACTGGGCTGCAGCATCTGTCTATTATGATGACTACACATCTCACTCACTGTACAAACTCCAAAGCCAAGAATGCCTTCTGGATTCAAGCCTCCTGTTATCAGAGCCGTACACACCTAACCCGGCACTAATTAATGGACTATTGGAACTCTAGGCCTCTGCAAGTCCCCAGCTTTTCTTTCCTTCCATTTCTAAATTTATAGAACTACCTTCTTTTAAAAAGTGGGGGAAATCCTGTATTTATTTCTAAGTGTGGTGAACTCATTATGATGAACAGCAAATCTGAACATTCTTTACTCTCCTACAGTTTGTCAAATAATTTGCATCTTGTACTTTTTTCAGCAGATCTCTTGTAATTGCAATAATGCTTTTTGTTTGTTTGTTTTTGGCAGAGCAAAAAGCAAGAACAGTTGCCAGATTTTTTTTTTTTTTGCAAACCGTACCTGGTAAGGCTCTTAACTGCCTTTATCTGAGGCAGCATAGTGGTCATGTCTCATGGAAGTTCTGCTGGGACTATCATTTGAGTCTCTTTTCACTGGAAATACCACAAGATCGGCTCTCAGTAAATCACTACACTATTCACACTGTCAAAACGTGGCGAAGGTGGGGCCAACTCTAGCTTGGTATTTTAGCAACTTCTCAGGTCAAAAATTGAGAAGTAAAGATAAAACTGAAATGTTTATGAGAATGTGCTCTTTGGGATGAGCTGGTCATACAACGGACAGGGAAACCTTCTTGGGGTAATTTGTTCTCATTAGCTCTCAAAGTGATTTCTGATTGGGACTAGATCATAACACAGGGGCTGAGGCCCATAGTCGTTTCTGAAAGGCATCCAAAAAGCAAGCACTTACACTGAGGCCTTGGTTCTCAGACGAGAAAGATGTAAGTGGAGAAACAAGACTGTTCCTTTAAAAAATGACCGGTGGGCTGCAAAGGGAACCTGGTGCCTGATACACAATAGAGTCTCTTGAATGTTCTTTGTTGAGTGAGTTTAATCAGAGACCCACCCAAGGTTAGAAAAATTTTCACCAACTGCTTATGCCTAAACAAGCGGTTCTTTTTTTGTAGTTGATGTCCACTTAAGGTGCAGTAGGGTTACAATTGTCATAATGGACATAATTATATAAATGGTCCTGTGCACAGTATGTGGTTTCATATCAAACTGGCACTTCTGCCAAAAAAACAAAGGTGCTTAAGTAACGGTACAAAAGTCCATACGTACCATTGCTCTGAACGTCAACTACTCTGAGATCCTTGGGGAAAGGCAGTCTATAAATATGAAGCTCTATGGTTACCCTTAGTTACTTCACTTTTTCAAAGCATAATGCAAGCTGTCCCCAGTCCAATGTTTTATTTCGGTAGTAGATTCTGCTGTCCTATTTTATATACTGTATGTCGTGCATTTTGTTGCTCTAGTAATCTTTTTAAGATGTTGTTCCACTATTATTTTTACTTGTCTTGAAAAATGGAAATGGGCAATAATGGAAAGGAAGACTTGCTGGTAGAATCTTTATTGAATTTGCACAGCAGGAAGCTGTCTTATGAGACTGTTTACTGACCACAGATCCAAGTTCACAGAGGAGAGGGAAAAGAACCACTCCTCAAATCATGAATTTATATCAATTTATTTACCTCACTTCATTATGGACACAAAGTGTTCTTGGAAAACTGCAGGACAATTTTGGGCTATCACTGAAAACAAGAACGGGTGTGGAGGATGCAAAAAACAAATGTTTTAAAGATGAAACATGAACAGTTCTGTAATGATAAAGCATACTAATTGAAATTAGTCACACAGTTAAGAGAATCCAGAGGATGGGAGATCACTGCCTTTTTTCCCCATTTCTGCCTCATGAATGTAAAATGTGCTTGTAATCGCAATGCTATTCCCGATAGAGCAGAGCAGCCTGTAAATTCACACTTCACAGGACTCCAGGGAGAATAACTTACTAATGAATGGTATTTATAGTGGCGGCATCTAAGCGTGCTTTCATTTGCTCTACTAAAGTTACTGTGTACACTACAAATAATTAAAAGGAAGGCAGAAAGTAGTTCCTATTAAATTTGGTTCAGACTAAAAATAAATAGATATAATTATTGAAAAACTAAGTTCAGTGAAAAACTAAGCTCTGCACTGAAACTGTGTAAAAGCCATATGAAGCCTCTGCTGTGTAATCTTGGAAAAAAATTTTACAGAGTGCAGAGTAGGAACTCAATAAATACTTGTTTAATGAGTAGCGAGAGCCGGGGCTCCTATCATTACTTCCTCTTTACCATACCTTGTTTCCATAATGCTGAGTGTCTCAACCATTCTTTCATTAACATCCTTTAAGGAGCTTTTTTTAGACTTCTGTTTCTCTATTTGTGCCCTCCCCTCACAAAATTTTAGTATCTGTTTATGTACTATGGCCTTTTGAGGGGCACAGCACATTGTAACAGGTAAGTACCAATTTTGGGGTGATATAGCTCCTCCATCAAGAACACATGCTGTAAAGGACTGCAATGGTAGTAGGTTATATCTGTCACCGATAAAACCATATATATATACACACACACACACACACACACAGAGTAAAACCTTGGATTGTAACTTGGTTTGCGAGTGTTCCGCAAGACAAGCAAACATTTCTAATACATTTTAACATGTTAAACGAGCAATGTCTTGCAATATGATTAGTTTGTTTCCGGAATGAATTATGCTTACAAACCAAGGTATTACTGTGTGTGTGCATGTGCACGTGTGTATATGTGTGTGTGTGTGTGTGTGTGTGTGTGTGTGTATATATATATATATATATATATATATATATATATTCTATAGACATCTATATATCTATGTATAGCTATATAGATACACAGGTATCTATATAATATCTATATATCTGTTCTATAGAGAGATATTCTATGTATAGAATATGTCATTTAAAAGTTATTAAGATTCCTTTAGCCTGTGCTCTAGAACAATCTGGGTAGGGTCAAAATCAAACAGGACCACTGGCCACAAGGACACTGTCTACCTGTGCACTCCTGAGGGGGCTTGGATAGTACCCAGGCACTTTAATGCCGTGGTACTGCCGTCTTCTTGTTGACCTATGAAATGGCTTTACTGTTTGGTAACCGAGGAATGTAATAAATAAAAGGCTTGCTAGATGCCAGCGCTGCCCTGGTAACTCATATTTGGGTGGTAATCTCACTCCTGCTCAGTACTGGTGTCTTCATCCCCCAGAAACGCTGGTTACATAACCAGTGCTTGATTTGTCAGTAGGAAACAAACATCCTATGGGCTTATTATGTAATCTTGAGCAATCTGCTGGAAACCTAAAGAGTTTTCTTAAACCCATCTATCATTTAAGCAAAAACAGTTTACTGTGACAAAGTGAACCAAACCCAAATCACACCCCCACCCCGCCCCAGACAAAGGAAATATGCTAAAATAGACTTTAAAAGAAGAAATAAAAAGCTCTGCTTTCTCTTTAAACCCGTGAACAATAGAAGGTCATGTGATACAGTGGCCTATCATCCAGCACATTAATAGCTGTGCTAGAGTAATTACACTTGTGGTATTTTTGCCTCAAGTGAAATTCTGAAATAAGAGGATGGAAATTATGATACTGCTGATAAATATTAATAAGTGAACTTTTAATTTTTTTGCCACAATATTCAAAATGCTAAGCATCCTGCTAATGCTGAAGCAGCCGATGTGTTTGCCTCCAGGGAGGACGATGCTTTGTGCACTTAAGAAAAAAGTTTAACGGAATTAAAATTTAATATCTAATTAGAGTGAGGCTAATATATTTTGAAATGAGTGGGGGAGACACGTGCCTCTGCTGAATATCTGGGACGGCCATTAATCTTACCTGTAAAGCCGCATTGAGAGGTGTGCAGTAGGCGTGGCTGCTCTGCATGTTTTTAATAAGGGAAGGGTTACTGCGTAAGAAAAAGAGAAAAACTCAAAGTTAAATGCAATCAACCCCCGAGTTCCTAGCTAAGTTTTGTTTTAAGCTTGCTGGTATCCTTCCAAATCACAAATTCCCCCCACTAACAAATCTTAGGTTTTCTCCATATCCCCCGGCTTCATTGGGCTGCTCTGTGTGAACTGCTCAGGGTATACAGACTTTGCTCTTCAAGAAAAATGGGTCTAAAACTCTGGCTTAAGTAATACCAGACTTGGGTACTCCCTCCATTGATAAATTTTTGTATCACAAAATACTGACTTCACTGCCAAGCTGTAATAGCTGCCTAACTCCAACAGGAAGGCAGAAGCAGCTCGGGGCTGGGGGAAGTGAGCAAGCTGACCGCGGGGCTGCCTGGGAGTGAGCTACTGGCATCTTGGCTCTTAAGTCTCTCCATGATGGGACCGCTGGAGTGACGGCTAGAGAAATGGCACAGTGGCTCTTACGGAAGGTCTCCGAGGCATGTTATTGCCAGAGGAGGATGGAGAGATGGGCATGCCAGAAAAGGGCCATTCCTGAGTAAGCTCGGAGCTTGGGCTGAGGCTTTTCTTGCACAGCCAAATCTGGGAAGATATGAGAATATTTGATGCTGTGTCCGTGTCCTTTACCTGAAGACAAGCTACTGTTTTAAGAAAATCTCTAACCTAGTAAAGAGTAAAAATACTAAATAACCACAGAGAAGATATTGAGGGAAAGGAGTGGCTTCCAGTAGGAAACTACCCACGTTTATCAGTGGCCTTTAAAAGAAGTATATGTGCTGTTATCAATCTCTTTCCTAAACTTGGCACATTTTAATTACACATTTTGCTAAATTTATATTATTATACTGAGTAAGCAAAAAATTAGAAGAAATTTACCCCATGAACACACATTTTAATTCTAAGTAAAAGCTTCCTTTCTAATTGAAGGAATAATGAATCACACAGAAGTATTTAGTTTCAGGGTCCCCGTAAGCTGCTGAATCAAAAGATAACCAGTATTTGCATTAAAGACGTCAAAAAAGCATTATTCAAGGCACTGGCATTTCGAGGAGACACAAGAAAATACATGTACAAATCACACGATTTAGTTCCGTTGCACAAAGCTGTGGCACTGCTACTTGGTGGAATGCAAACTACATGGGATGGGTCAACCATGCAAAGCCAAAGCAACAGCAGAAAAAAAAACAAAAGCAAGTAAAGGCTCTTACTGTGCGACAAGCTCGTCAAAGTTTTCATCGGGGCAGTATTTGCGAGGACGGCCTCGTTGAATATGGCGGCCACGTTTAAACTCTTCATCATCAACTGTCCAAAAGGACCCAAACTCATCCTCTACTCTGATAAAGCACTTATGCAGTGAGAGGTTGGTGCGAATGGCACCCTGGGATAGGAGCAGCAGCAAAGGAGATGAAGTGGCAACAAAAGGAGACGGGGTTGGGGGCAGAACAGACATCCAATACAGGGAACAGGAAAAAGAAAATAAAATGCAATAAGCGTAAGCAAATGGTTTGTGAGGGTTAATATGCATTGCCACCTAAAAGCTACTGGCATGTGATGCGACAGAGACCGGCAAGCAGGGCGGGGACTGGTGGGCATACAAAACAGGAGGGATGAAATGCTTTTTTGCTTCCCTTAACTGAGACAACGTGAAACCAGTTCTTTGGTCTAACACCATCTAGCAGCCAAAAGCCTCTATGTTATACTTGTTAGCACAATCCAAGCTAGGCTAAGAAGTTCAAACATGGTGGACGTACCCACTGATCTTTTGTGGCCTTCGTTTTTGGAATTCTACTTCATCCACTGTCCATACTGCCCCTTTAACGTTTTCTACTCGCACAAAACACTTGTGAAGACTAAGATTATGACGCACTGCATTCTGCAGCAAGTATAAAAGAGAGAACATTTACATTTTCTATAAGAAAAAGCTCCAAAAACAGCAATAAATTCAGCCTAACAGTCCACATTTGTAAAACATCCCCAAGAGCTGTACCTACCACCCCCGTGGATGACCCTCTTGTGGTTAAGAGTGCCTTTTCCAAAAGCAAAGATAAAAAACCCAAATCATAAATTAATTGTACTAAAATTGCATTTTAGTCTAGTCTATGGTCATAACTAACAAGAAGAAAAACTGTTTAACATGCATACAAGCCCAAAACAGGTTTCACAGTAAAAATCTGAAAATATTGTAATATGACTTCAAAATGAAACAAATATAGCATAAAATTGTCCCTTTTAAGCCCACTTATCTCCCATAAAAACGGTAGTTTGTTTCTATTTTTTAAACCATGAAACACGAAGACTCCGTTAATAGCGTTCAATACATTTTGTTCTTGTTCTTTTTGTTCTTTAAATTTCTGGCTTTAAAGCCTTCTACAGGTTTTCTCAGATTTATTAAGAAGAAATCTAAATTGGATTTTACCGTTGAGAGTATCACCTCCTGTAGCTGACAGGAGCGGGGAATAAAATGACCCCCAGTGGATCAGTATCCATCATCAAGCTCTGTCTTACCTTCTGGAACATATATAGAAATTGGCCCTTACTGTGGGCAAGTACCTTAATTAACTGAGAAAATGCCAAAGGAACACATGAGTAGGACTCTTAATGGGAAAATGACGATATTCCTGCATTGATGGTTTCTACAGACACACGTTTTTTTCTTATGATTAAAAGTCATTTCTGTTCATTCCTAAGCAGAGACCCTTGACATCTACAATCTACCAGAAAGGAGGATCTCAACTCAGGGGTGAAGCGCTTTTAACATCTCATCTATCCTTTGAGTTTCAGGAAAACCCACAACTCTTACTGGGTAAAGTAACAAGCATGACTTCATTTCTTTAGTCCTCCTGGTTAGACTTATTGATCTAGACTGAAAATTAGACATGAGGATATTACAAAGAGACCCATGTCAATTTACTCAAAACCTTCTTCTTATAGGGAATACCGTATTTCCCCATGTATAAGACACTCCCCTGTATAAGATGCACCTTAATTTTGAGGCCTGAAATTTGAAAAAAAAATGTATTACATAAAGCTATTGAACTCAAGTTTTATTCATCATAAAAAAGCGAAATTCAAAAAAAGCAGGAAATACAAGTAAAAAACTCTACAACCACTGTATAAGACGTACCCAGTTTTTAGACCCCAAATTTTTCGAAAAAGGGTGCGTCTTATACATGGGGAAATATGGTATGTAGGTGACAACTGGGGCATGAGAAGTTGATGTAAACATCATACCTCATATACCCTGTAAGCCCTTTACTCAACTCCATAATGCTGCTATTGCTCAAATATTTTCCATCCCTTCCCTTGTACCCCCTGCAATATTTCCTCTCCAAAGTATCCTTCAAAGTGGCAAATCTTAATATTTTGAGAGGTGTTTCAATTTCTGGATAATCACTATTGGTGACTTGGTGAGGAGTCAAGTTAGGTGACAATTTTTTTCTTTTTCTGATATGGAATACTTAGAAGATAATGAGACAAGTTTTATTACATGGCCTGATGAACTTGCTCACAAGGAGAATCCACAGGACAAAACCTCAAGAAGCTTTTGAGCAGTGTCAGCATAACAGGGGTAGGTTCAAGACACTTGGCTAACTGTGAAAGGGCACTCCTGATTCAAACAGGTTTGATAGGTTTGCATCAAAACAAAACAAAACAAAACAAAACAAAACAAAACAAAACAAAACAAAACATCTCTGAAAAACGTTTGGCATGTTATAACCATACCTGGTAAGACAAATTTCTTTGCATATAAATTATAGTTTGGGCTTCAAATACACATTATTTTTTATATTGCACAAGGCACAGAAAATGATACTAAGGGTCAACTCTTACCTCCTAGAACAACGCTGAGGAAGTTGAAATAAATAAATAAATAAGCCACAATTTCCTTTAAGAAAAACCCGAGACAAAGTATGTATACATACAGGAGACATAACTGGGAAAGAAATCAACATTTTCCCTCATCTCAATCGTTATCTGATGTTTTAAAATAAGTATCAAAATGTACAGAACCGAAAAGATCTAAAGAAGTCATGTCTGAAAAAAGGACTGCTTTAGGTCTTCCTGAACTATACAGCCATGTAAGTAAAGAAATAAAGTCAAAACTTAAGTATTGTTTTCAAAGATGTTGCACATCTAAGCAAAAGCAACTAGAAATCAAGAGTTTCCCCAAAAGATGAGTAAACTCTTTTCAGTGATCACTTTAACTGGGCATTTCATCTTTTCTGTAAGATCACAATACAAATAAGGGCATGGAGAGAAAACGATATGCATTTGTGAGTCCTTAAGTACTTTATCTACGATTGTGTATATTAATGGCACTTCTTCCTGCAGTTTGCAAAAAAGTTAAATCTAAAGATCTGGGCTTAAATATAATCTTCACAACTGGTAATTATTTTTAAATGTGAATCTTTTGCTATTTATAAAAGGTAATTTGAAGAAAATGTCTGATTCATGCTTATACTTCCTAAATTTCGAAAAGCATTTGTAGCTAAACATTCTTTGTATTTTAATCTTCCAAGGCAGGCTGAGGATAAGAGGGGAAAATTGTGAACACAGGTTCCCTTTAGCATCCATGTATCTTAACGGAAATAATAAAGACAATTTGGGCCACGATAGATATTCATAGCACTGTAAATTTGATAAATTAATTCTATGGTTATATTCATTTTCTTATAAAATGCTAATTTACCAAGAATGTAACTGAGGAAATACAATTTCTGTTTTTGCTTTTGATTTTCTCCCATGAAAAATTAAGGAAGTAGCAAGGAAGACATTTATTTCAAGCAAAGCAAATTTTTCTTGCACCCTATAATAAATCTCTATCATATTTATAACAACGATGTAAGAATATCATCAAATATTTTCATTTTAAATGTTTCTAAATGTTTTAGAATTCAGAGAATATAAGAATTCTAGGTAGTAAAAATGCAAAAGAACACAAATATGAATTGCACCTGCCCACTTCTATAGCAAGAATATTAGAACCCAAGTAACTGAAAGTGGGAAAATCCAAAAATTTGTGAGGGCTTAATCTAACACCATGGAATAATTACTAAACAAATTTATGAACCAGTTGCTGAACTGGGAATGAGGTATGTCATATGGCCTCATGCCTTGTTGGGGGTACCCAACACAGACCCACGGAATTTGACCTGTTTGACAGACAGTCTCTTGACTTAAAAAAGAAAACAAGAACAAAACCCCCAAAAAACCTAATAATATATTGTGTTCTCCTGTAATAACTCCCATATATAGTACTAATACTTGAATTGCAAAGCTTTCTCCATTAACTGGGTTAAGTAGTTTTCATCCAACCAGTGAAAGCTATGTCAAGTTTGTCTAATTATTTCCCCAGGTTCCTAATGGCATCATAAAAGTTATCTATGCAACTCTGCCAATATTTGGTGATGGCTGAAGGCCTAAAACATGAGGTTTGTGTAAGTGACAGGACAACCTCAACATCTGGGCAGTGTCATCTGCTCCTTTCACCACACAATCTAACCAGAGGGGGCGTATTTTCCTGGCTGGCTCATCCACACGCCTGATGGTACAGGAATGGGAGTCTTCCAACCCCGCCTCTCAACCGCAATGAAACCATGTTCTGCATCAGACATTTCTATAAATCAGACTCTCTGGAGTGGATCAAAACAGTATCAATGGACCTTACAACCACTGAATTTTTCAACAGCACTCTCTTCTATAAATGGCAAGACCTAAGCCTAGTCGGACCTGCGAGGGCGCTCACCTTCCACGTGGCCGCGTTGCGCCGGAAGTAAGCAAACATCCGTGTGAACCAGTTATAGATTTCGTTTAGTGTTAGCTGCTTCTCTGGAGATTCGAGAATGGCCTGTGAAGCAGAAGTGACGAAGAAGATAATTTATGCCCAAATCAGCAGAATCATCATTATACAGTTTCTTGAAAATACAAAATAACCGTGATTCAGAACTAAATCCTGAGGAAGGTTTCACAAAATGATATAAGATTAATGGTTGTATTAAACAGTTCAACAGCCAAATTCAAAATGGAATTATCTAATTGTTTTGAGTTTTTATTTCTGTTTCCGTACAGAAATATTAATTTATTAGTCATTCATAAAGCAGAATCAAAGAGAAATGCAAAACATTTCACTAGCTGATTAAAGCTCAGTAATTATTTAGAGCTCAGATTAATTCTAGGGATCAGAGATTACTGTAGCTTGTGATAATTGACTTGCCATCTTTAAACAGGCTCATTTTCACTGTTGTGTGAAATGAATTTCCTAATAATCACATCGTATTGTAATACTTAATCAAAAGCAATTATGTTATATATTGCAGTTTTAAAAAACCTTATAGAAAAGGTTTTAGCATGCCTGCATACTAAACGGTTTTAAATCTACTTCATCAATATAATATATCCATGTGCACGTACACCTTTTGAAATAATTTCACATACTGTGTTATTTACTTACCTGCCTAATTAAAGATGCATATGTAAATGGTGGTCTAACTTCGGCGTTCTTATAAAATTCTTGGTTCTGCGCAATATCTGCTAAATAAGAATCATTGTCCTATTAATTATCATTTTTAAAAAAGAAGCTGGTCTACAAGAATTGCATATTGCAATTCTGTGTGAGGCAAAAACAGAGTATCTACCTGAAGAAATGGGCACGTTGTATTTGTCTGAGTACCGCCTGCGGATGGGTCCCACCGTGTGCATGCTGGTGGTGGTGATGACGGAGGGGCCTTGGGTGACGGGGGTGATGGGGGCAGTCGGGGTGGTTGGAGTATGAGGTAAGCTCTGTGGAGAAGCCTCTGATGCAGACTTAGAGAGTGTGACACTTGATACCAGATTCAGCTGTGAGGAAAAGAACAACTCTTAGAAGACCTTGAGGAAAACCGAGCAACCAGGAAAGTATCTAAAATCCAGCAGGAATAACATAGGGGATGCCTGACTAGGTTTCTTTCTCTAAGGAGATGTCTCTAATCAACTAAACTACGAGGTGAGTTCCCATGTAAACACAATTCACTTAGTACTTAGCAGGGATACATTGGTATAGACCTGAACTCTCCAACAGCAATTTCTGCAATGTGCTAGCACAAGTGAGGAACTGTTTTTACTTAATTTTTATAAAAATTAAACTCTTAACTTTAATGAATTTAAATTGAAATAGCCACATGTCACCAGTGGCTACCATACTGCACAGCACAGGGATAGGCTACTCAACTTCACAATGAAGCTTCTTGGACGGGAAGTACTACAAATGTATTTGGCCTATGACTCGAATTAAAATATGTGGCATTGATCCAGTAAGTCACCATTGCGTTCTATCAGTTGGCAGAAAGTAATCTTTGAAAGCTTTGTATGTAATCTTCATTAAATTCTTATCAAATATAGGATTGGAACCTATTAATTTTAAAAGAATATGGCATATGAGAGATCTGGAACTGTAGAATTTTTTATTTCTTTCCTTCAAGTTTCAAGTGTTCAATAATATAATGGAATAATCTATTGCATCAAGTAATAAAATGAATATTATGTATTTGAAGTAGTATAGACAAAAATCAATAGTACTGTTTTGATTCCCTCCCTCCTTCCCTCCCTCCCCCCTTCCCTGTCAATCTATCTAACTTTCCCCTTGAAGTGCTTCTCTTATTAATAATGGAAAAACCGGCTTGTCCACCTTTCCCAAAATTTGTTGTTACAGAAATACTAAGTCTAGCTATGCTAAAAAACTTGATCGTTTTCAACATATTAGAGTTTACATAGGATTGTTATCTCAGATACATAGAGTCGGCCCAAATCCAGGAAACTTCTGCAGAGTAGGCTTACTTGGTAACATTTTCTCAAACCAGATTCTGAATCACTTAACAAAATAAGTCTATTTTACCATCGTGACAAGGCATTATTTGTGGTGGGATTAAAAATGAGATTCTTCTGAGATCATAATCAAAGAACATATTAAAGGAGAGTTCCAATTTATTGAGAAGACCCCACCTCACTCATGCTCTAGTAATGAAAAAGTCCATGAGAAACTTCTCTGTCTAATATGTTTAGGGCAGTTCCATAAAAAGGCAATACATCTGAAGAAAAGAAATACCAAATATCGTTGGGGAAATATTAGCAGAGAGACGTAAACATGGTGCTGGAACCTGAATGTTAAATTGCAAGCTTTTAGTTGTGGTTTCCTTTTCATTCCCCTTCCCTTGAAATGCTGACTCAGACAACAACAGAACCACCACCTCTCCATACCTGAGAAGAACAAGCTATGGAGATGGCATTGACCTACAGATCCCCAGGCAGGCTGAGTTATGCTGTGAGGTGCTTTTTGATTAGAGCTGGAAACCTGACTTCATGACACACATTTGCAAACTAACTGCTAGCAGTTCAAAGGAGCAGCCATGGGATGGAGCACGAGGGAAGGCTGGAGAGAAGCCAGTGGGAAGGTTGGGGCTGACCTTGGCTTCGGACCTTTATCACTGACCAAGTACAGGACAGCACGCGTAAGCGTCAGCCCCAGCAAATGGTCACGCACGAAAGACTAAAGCTCAAAAATATATAGCTTTTATGATTCAGAGACTGCTACGCCTAAGAATACCAGCACACTCTGGCAAGTCGTGTGGTTTCACTTAATTCTCTTACCATCACTAATACTTGAGATGGTATTACTCATATTTTACAGATAAGCAAACTGAGGCTCAGGGCAGATGAAATAACTTTCCCAAATTCACACCGTGGACCCAAAGTCAAACACACACTTGTGATTCTAGGCCTTTTGTATAATCTTCTTATGAGAAAGAAACACTAACCAGTTTCATTTTTCCGTAGGCTCATTTTCGGAAAGGATTCATTCAGTGACTAGCTTTTATCTTTGCTTCTAAATGACATTCAGTAAATATGACTGAGCCGATATATGGCATCTGACACTGAACTGATGAAACAGGAGCAGAACACGACGGCTGCCCTTGCAGAGCTTCCCATCAAATACAGACAGCGGTCAGAGGAAAACGTGCACAACCATTAGACAGTTCTGAGGAATAACTCTACTTCCGGCTTCTCTTTTCAGTTTATGAACATTACCGTAAACATCATGAGTTTCTTAAAAAAGCAATAAAAATTGTAATATAAATACAACGTCCTTAAAAAATGTGCGTGCTCCTTTTCAGTTTTGTGAAAAAGTTCAAGTTCAGTGGGTTCTGGTCTAATTGCCAAAAACCAAAACTCATGTAAACATTCAGCAAGTGCAAGGCCATCTTTTTGGGTGCTAATATACAAGAAGAGTAAATATGGTGTGTCTCATGGTGTGACGTCACAAAATGTAAAAAGCATCTGGCTTTTGTAGTTTTTACAAAGGTCTCAACATTTGGACTGTTTCTACCAAAAAAGCAGCAGTGAAAAATAAAATCCCTCCGGGTCAGCATGATCCATGAAGAAAGAGATGCAGAATTTTCTGGAGGCTTTTGAACATAGGTAGCAAGTGAAATAAACACTAAGCCAGAAGAAGCCAAGAGGGGGCTTACCAGGCTTGACAAATGACACCGTGATTCACACCCACTGCTGGGCTGTCTCTAATAAGCCACAGAGGAAGCAGCCAATCTCAGCTAATTGCCAGATAAAAATGTATTGTAAGGATTCTAATTAGGAGACGCGGATGGAGGTGATCTGATGATTAAATGCTGCATTCGAGTGACCCCACCATCAGTGTGCAGTGGTGCAAGATGTCACTGGAATATTTTGTAGAAACAGTAATTTTATTTCAAGGAGGGGAGGCAGTAATATTTGTAATGATGGCTATGAGGTAAACTAATTAAAAGACAGTTCCTAGAGGAAGAGGGTGGCTGAGAGCAGCTGTGGCCATTCCAACACCAAGTGCCAAGTCTCAATAGAGAAACTGCAGTCAAGTGGAAAATTTCTGCCTGACCTCTGCCCTTGCTATTAATTTGCAGGAAAACTAATGACACATATACATATTCCCACAAAATTGTTCTAATTGCTAATTTGCCAAAGGAGCCCAGATTCCAAATTAAACATGACTGTAGCCTGTGAGGGAAGGAAGAACAAAAAGCTGGAAACTCCAAACAGAGGGTGCTTCGCCTCGCACAATCATTTGAAGAGTGAACCAACAAGTTAATGAAATGTCAACCTTGTCAACTGCTATAGAAGTTTCTTAACTTTCAAACTTTTGTTTGATGATCACATGCTTGTCTTGAGGAGAACCCATCTTGGGGAGGAAGGTCACGAGGGAGAGATAAGATGGAGCATGGGGAAGGATTCAAAACAGGCTCTGTGTTCAAACCTGCTCTTTTAATTAAGGTCTCTCTGAACAAAGTGGACCAAAAAAAAATTAATTATAGACTGAAACAGAAGAGCAAATTGGGAACGGTGTGGGTTTTGCTGTAATCTTGAAATATTCATCTTAATTGTAAACTATTAAGTCTTAATATAATCATCAATTAGAAATGAAAGCATATGCACTTTGTGGTTCTGGCTGTAGTTAAGGTTTTAAAAGATATTTTTTTTCCGGGGCATGGAACAGGAAGGGATCGGACTGGGAGGGTTTCTTTTCCTATTTTTCTAATTGTGTTCATTTTCTATTTAAAAAGAAGTTGCTATGTTTAGAAAAGTTAGTAACTCTGATATTTTCTACATGGCAAGTTTCCATCATGTGATGATTTCGGCAAAGATAATCTCTTTGAAACTCTGGCCAAAAGTTAAATTCTTATGTCACTTAAAATTGCCGCAGGGTTTTATTTTTTAAATTTATGTGTGCTCTCAACCATCGTCTTATACCCCAGTTCAGCTGCAGAGGACTCCTGGAAATCTTACCCATACAAACTACTGGAACTGTCACAGCTACCTAATGCTCTGGTTAGCCCTTTTTCAAAAGATTAATTTTTAGGTTTTAAATAATAAACTCCTCTCTCTTTTAAAGATGATGAGTCACTCACATTTTTTAAAAATAAACAAACCGCTGATGTAAACCCCGGACAGAAACAGACTTGTCGTTAAGTATTCCCACAAGAACTCATTTTTATTTTTGTTTGTGCTCTTGCCTCACATGAAAACAGATTCTGAGAACAAAAGACAAACCTGAAACCAAAACAGCAAGGGACCCAGCTGCGTAGTAGGGGCTTTCAGGCTCACAGAACTGGTTTTTCTGCTGTTGGTTTCACTGTCCTGAGCTGGCCCAACTGCCGCTTTAACTGCAAGGCGTTTCTGGACATGAATCAGAGTCACTCCCATGTGGAGAAGGCCTTTCTGAGGCTGAAGGGACATTCCCAAGACTGTGGGGAGGCTGGGTCCGAGGGTGGCAGCGGGATGCTCAGGTTCCCAGGCCTTGCCTTCCTCTGCATCTCAGCCTGGTCCTAACAGTATCAGTGACTGGTGCTGGTGGGAGGCAGTGACTGAGAGGGTGGTGTCCCTGACAGTGGTACTAAAAACAAAACAAAAATCTGGCATTGAGTTGAGGAGCGGGACTTAATGAGAAAACAGTATATAAAAATAGCTCGTGTGAGTTGCGCCTGAGAATCTTTTATGACTGCCTGATATTATTTCTCCAATTCTAAAGCAAGGCTGCAGCCGGAAGGGTCAGCCATTTCTGTTATGAGTTACAAGACCCCTTTTTCAGACAGGGAGCACTTTGTTTTTATAGTTGCTAAAAACTACTTTGAAACAGCCCTAATTGCTATGGGTAGAGGAAAAGAGGATGCATAAAAAGGAAAATCTAATACTGCATTTCACTTCAAATATCCAAGTTCCTCTAGTGTTTCACAGCATTTTTTGTAAAGGGGCTACACTACATACACTGTAATTACTTGCCACCAAACCTGAAGGATGTGGTTTCTCAGGATCAGGGGTTGTTCTCTGGTGTGTAGGAACACCCTACAGCAAAGTATGCTTCTCATGTGCTAATTATTATAAAATATAATTTACAGTATTGCCCAACATAATAATTGTGAAGTCTTTTAAAAATATCCTTAACAACTTAATAAAGTCGTAACACACACTTCTTTTTGTTGTTATTGTTTTGTCCTCTGAGTTACTCCTCCCGCCAAGGAAATAACTCAGCAAATTCCCCACAGAGTAAGCATGGAGACATTAATCAGCAAGCAGTACATTTTGGTGTTGACTCTGAGAATGTTAGTGAGTTTGAAACAAAAGGATATTGATCATACTCATTATGATAGTTTACTATTGTCTAATTTTTCACGTTTGCTTCTCTTATCATGGAAAAGAGAAGAATCTTAAAACTCAAAAATACAACAAATTTGGCTAGTCTAAACATATGTCAAGAAAGGCTTTTCCCATTGCATGTGCTTAACTGCTAGAATATAGCAGCTGCTCTGTAAACTTTTACATACCCTTTCCATGCAGGGCCCAGCCTTAATAAAATTAAGAGTATGAAAAGTTTATTTTAGCTGATGCTGGCTATTCCCTAACTCCCTCCTCACTGATTCTCATTCCGTATCTTCCTCTCCCAGTTCCCTCCCTTAGAGACACACAGACACACGTACCTACTCTTAACCCAAGAAAAGATTCACGAAGCTGACTTCTTTCCATTCCTTCTGATTTGTGTAGGTTTCATTACCTTTTCCAGAAGTCTTCCTGGACCCCACAGTAATAGTGCAGTTGTTCTACTCACACACATCACGACTCACGCAGTGAGAATGTAAGAGCGTGTATGTGTGTATTTATTTGTTAGTTTGTCTCGCAAGCCTCCAAATACTTCATGGCAGGATGCCTTTAGCTTAATTTACTACTCTATGTATTTACGTAGCATGCTCAATTAAGTATTTGTTGACGCAAGAGCCTGATTTTAAATGCAGAAATTCCCTTTCTAAAAACAACCTGCAGTCTGAGGCTTGGGTATAATTTTTTCAGTTTAAAAGATTTTACAGTAAGCACTTTTGAAGGTGTTCAAGGACTAGGAAGACTGCAAACTCACATTCCAGTTCACCTATATACAACCCAGTGTGAGTGAGCCCAGATCCATGGCTAGGAACTTGGGGTCTCTCCCGAGATGAGTATATCCTCTAACTATCCAAATGCGGAGATGAGTTCCACAATAGAACCCAGAAAACGCAAGTATGAGCTGATGGGAGAACAATCCAAGAAGGTTTGGGCCATTTCTTTGATGGAATGAAATGGGGACTGGTTGGACAATTGGATACAAGTGACACTTACCACCCAAATGGCATTTAGTGAAAAGCATCATTTACAGCAAAGCATTTTATCACTTAGTAACTAAGAATTTAAAAATAAACATGAACTTCCTTTTAAACAGGAATGGGGGAAAAAATAACCTTCATAAACTCACTGGCAAGGCTGCAACACTAAAGTCCCCATCTATGTTTAGATTTGAATCCCAGTGCTTATTTCAAATCAAAGACTCTAGAAGAATATGCATTTGAACATACACTGTGCATTCTATTACTTAGGGTGAAATAAATTAATTACAGGCAAAAGGGAATATTTTGCACATTAGAATCGAACACCAGATAGCTCTGTTTCACTAAAGTTAAAAGAATCAAGGGTGTGCTGTGTGTGTGCACCCTTTTTTTTAAAAATGCTTTTTTGGGGCAAGGAAGTAAAAATTTATGCAAAACACTACACGTCTACTTTTTATAATTAATTTTCTAATGCCTCACCTATACATATTTTAATAATTTCTGATTTATAAGATGGTATCTATAATAAAATTTTCTATTTTCCAATAAATGAAAAGAAGGCAGGTTCACTCTGGCAACCGAGTGTCACACAATATCTGCTTGTCAGGCACCAATTTTTACTTCTTACATGTAAGGTAAAGGATAAGGAATTTATAATGCTGCCTGTGAAGGGAACCACTTTTCATACACAAATGTGATCTTTTTTTTCCAAAGGGTAATACAACAGTACATTTACATAAACTAATCCAAACAATCTATGTATTTGACAATGGCAAACCTCACACAGACGGCCTATTGTTGGTTTACATCTTGGAGTCCTTTATATTGGCTTGTAGCGCTGCTCTAGCTGTCAAAGGTTTGACTTGGACTCCAAATAAATGGTTATAGAAGTGCTGTGCAGCGATATTGGACTTCTTTGCAAAAGAAAACCTGCTGCGTATGAATTCAAAAGCTATTAATTTTTCCGTCAAAAATATTCGTGCCTATTTCTTTTAATAAAGAAGTACTGTGCTGAGCTACTAAGAGATAATGTTGACTAGTGGTAGAGAATTTTCAATAGAGCAGTTAAAAATAAATTTAGTAGGAGGTCCCCTTCAAAGTTGTAATTTTCTAGAATGTAAAACATTTTTTTAAATACTAATCAAGACAAACCTTCCTTCCTTGTGCAGTACCCCCAGGACTACTTTTCTCTGTTTATCGGTTGCTCAACACTGGTCCTCATGGAGATTCCCAGCAGCCCTTCTGTGTCCCAGGTAGGCTTAGATATATGGCGCGCCCTGCCAACACCCAGGCCCTCCCTCAAGGAGCGCCCCCTGGGGTTCTGCAATTCCTTCCTCCTCCCTCCAAAGAAGCATGTGATCCCAAATGAGTCCATTCCTAGAGTCCAACCATTATTCTATCATTCTCTTTAATCCATGGAGGAAGTAGGAGATAATCTCATTCTCTCCCTCTTAGCTGTTGCTAGGTTTAAAGACACAAACACTTCATCCTGGGAAGAACCATTTCCCTACAAACAAAAGCCTTATGAAGACTTTCAGAGTTCAAAGGTGATAATTTCCCTAAACCATTGGCTATGCCCACTGGAGAACTCAGTCATTTCAGGGTCTCACCAATTTGCTTAGTTGAGCTCATATTATTTCTAGGAATCTCCTTAAAAGGAGGGATTGATAGGAATAGCAGGAATAGCTGACTACTGATTCCACAATATACTGAATGGCCTGTTTTTTCTCCCTTTCTTCATTTTTGGTAGCCTACACATTCAGTCCTACAGCCATTTACTGCAGAATATATGGAAACTAAGAGCTCTTTCTGAGTAAAAATGAATGTGCAAAGTGTTTAATGATTTTATGTCCTATATCTCAGTAATGTGTTCTGTTTCAGACATTAATTTTGTCTGCCAACTGCATCTTGGCAGGCTACCATATTTGCTGGGTTAATAGTCTGACTCCGTTTTATTTCTATCACCATAAATCATACATATATGGGTGTATGTTTGCTTTATTTATAGAAAAAAATCAGTCAAAACAGATAAACCAATACTTTGCCATTATGCTGCATCATTGCATATTGATTAAAATTGCTGGTACTAACTATAGATTGTCAACGCTCAATTAATTTTCACACAGTGACTCCATGCAAAATCAAATAAAGGCAGTGTACCTTTAAATTTTACAAATCTTAAAAATCAAGGAGCACAGCAACTCTCTCCATTTTTGAATAATCAGTTGATGCTACTAGGAGATTTTTAGAAATATAAGTATATGAGAAATAAAACTGTTAGAGATCAATTTATAACAAGGACCGAGGTCCAAGATGGGGTGGGGATGCCATCCTTCCACAGTGATTAACTGTCTGTGCTTGGATGGCACTTTTCAAGGTCAAGTAAAAGAAAACAAGGCGAGAAATAGGGGATTCCTAAAGTTAAATATAATTTCAGTATACCATGTTTGGTCTCCTGTGAAGGAGTAACGTTCACTTCAAACTCTTTAGTAACCCTTAGAGGCTCCATAATTTGAGCCTCTATCTGACAGTGTCTCCTTCCTGTGTCACAGTTAGACTGGACCACCCCTGCTCCTTTTCTCATACTCACTGTCGCTCAGCTCCCCCAGGCTGACATGCATTTGTCCTCTGCTTTCATGGTCCGGCTGTCTTCTCTCTGCATTACCACCATTCGGAAAGTTTTTTTTTTTCCCTCTCCCAGTGAGCTCTCATCAAATATTTGAATACCTCAGGATGGCATCCATTATCTGTCCCAAAGAACGCTGGCTGTTTGGGCCTAATAAACAAGGGCTGTGTTCACATCATCCTGCATTTCTCAAAATGCCTATCACAGTGTCCTCTTTATGAAAAGTTACCAAAACCAGTCCAGTCAGCTGAGGCCTTCACTACTCGAAGCCACCAGAATGCCCGTGCTCCTTCCTGTGCTCGGGTGGGAAGCACAGCAGACCTGGTGGCTCTGCCCTTGGTGGAGCTCAGTACTTACGGGCTGGGGGGCGGCTTTGGGCTCCGTAGACTTCACGTGCAGATGTGTCATCATGGCTTGAAGGCGCTCTTTGTCTTTTGCAAGCTAGCAGGGAGAAAATGCTTTGTTATTCTTTGACTACAGATCTGAGCACGGTATTACTATTACATAAAATTACATCCAAAATGATACATATCCCAAATTAAATGATGGCACCATCACACATGACAACATCTTTTTCATTGCTTAATCATTGTGAAATCTATACGACCATTGCCAAACTCCAAGTAACTGGAAGTGTCCGTGTGAGATTTCCCAACACAAGATGCGTTAGCCTTTAACTGGGAGGCTCTAGACCTGCTGGCACCAAGGAGTCCCATGTAACACAGACAGCTACAAGACAAAAACGTGAATCATGCCTATTAACAAACCTTATTCATGAGCAAGCCAAAAGAAAATGAGCTAGGTAGCTAAGACTCATAAATTCATCTGTTGTGGTTGTGGAAAAGCTCCTAGACAGATGGGTACATTTATGCAAAATTAATTTCATCTTTCCTATCAGGTAGGCATAGATTAAGACAGTGCTAGCAAGCGATATTATTAGCAGGGCAGGCGCAGGGCTATGAGGTTGACAGGTTCCCATTTTCAGATGAACGCAGAGTAAGCTTACTCATTTATTTATTCAATATGTGAGTACCTACCATGTGCTAGTCTCATCTTAACAGAAATGGAAGCCTCCTCATTCCATAGAAAATTATCGTCTAAAGGCACAGGAGTTTCTAATTGGATGTACATGACAGGCACTCAAATACTATTTATCATGTTTCTTTATGCTTGTCTTGGACCATTTTAACATGATGTGTTAGATAATCCAAGACAGTTGGGCATAGGGGACATATAATAATTACCTCTGTAAAGGAAGTGGGAAGTATATCCCCAAAAGACAAAGGTATGGTTAAGAGAAGAGCTATGGAACTTTGGGAAAATGCATAGGAACTGAGAGAGAGAGAGAGAGAGAGAGAGAGAGAGAGAGAGAGAGAGAGAGGGAGGGGGAGG